TTTATTATATATTGTGTGTGTTGTAACTTTATGCAGAATAAGTATGTGCTAGAAAATTTTAAAGTTAATTGTGCCGTTCTGTTTTGCAAGTTAAAATGAATGGCTTTATGGCAACATGTGAGACATTACGAACATGTGTAAAAACAAAGTGCAGTTCTTACAAAGGATCCAGTAAACACATGACGGACTTCAGAGTAGACTATGACTGTGTAAAAATGCTAAAAGCGTCAGACAAATTATCTTTTTAAATAAAACATAAATGCTTAAAGTTTTCACCATTAATCCGTTTATTAAAGACTAGTCACTGTGTGTATGGATCCAAATTCATTGTGCCAAAATAAAGACATCTTTTAATAGCTCAGGAATCCTGCTGGTTGTACATCTGATATAACTCTCTGTACATGTAACACTGTGTCACAGCAGTGATGTGAGTGGAGCTGCAGTTGCAGACACAGTGTCTCTCTGTGTGACAGCAGTCTCGTGGACAGGGTCAAATGTAGGTCGAAGGCATGTGCAGCGAAGTGGGTCATATGTGGGTCTGCTGTGTGAAAGACACTGTATGCATTGACAAAAGAGAAGCTCATACATGTGGTGTGGAGGATTGTGCATTTGTGTCACACTTTGACAGTGTTTTCATTCAGCAGACGGATCTCAGCATTCCGTGTTTGGGGTGCACACACACACCAAAACAAAAGCATGCAGAATATGTCATGTTTTTTTAAGGAACCAATTTAAATACATTAAATTATCAAGTTTTTTTGTGTGTGTCTCCATTAGTTTGCGACCCATATCAGTTCAGTTCAGTTTTATTTATTTAGCCCAGTATGACAAATCACAATTTGCTTCGGAGAGCAACAAAAACAAAAATTCATATCCCGGTATTTTCAGGCTGAATGGCAATACACGATATATATGCTGGCATTTTTTACTAAGTAAGACTACATGGTCAGTTGCAAGCTGATCCACAGCTGTTATTGTTGCTGCATGTGTCAAACACTGGCTCATTTACAGTATATGTACTTTTGGACTTTTTCTTATTTTCAATGTAACGTTTGAAGCATGTTTCAGAGAATGTGAGATTGTGAGATTTGCCTCAAAGTCATGGAAAGTTTATCAGTGAAATTGTGTGTATGTACCCTGTCAAAAACTCTCATGTCTTTTCCTGCAACAGGTTAAAATGATTCATATTCCATACACATGCAATGCATCATCTTGCCTTCAGGGCTGTGAACATATATATACTAGTTATTGTTAATTTTCAAATGTGCATTGGGGTGACCATCCAACCCCTCCCATCATGTAGGACTGCTTGTAGCTTCATTAGCTGATGGGTCAGAGTAGTTAGTGGAGGTCGGAGATGAGTGTTTGGATATCAGCTGGCAAAATTGTGTTTGAAGTGGCTCCATTTCCTCCTCCATCTATTAATCAGTTCTCTACAACTGAATGGAGACATCCACTGACAAATCCCTGTTCCCGTCTAGAATCAGATCAAATCCCGGAATGATTTGATCAGGTGTTGCCCAAAACGATGCTCGTTTCACTCTGAAATATGCCCCATAACATGAGCTAAAGATGCTCTGCCATTGCCACTGTCTTGATAGTCTCGCTACCAGACAATCAGAGATCTCCGCCTTCTGATAGTCTGGGGACACTCCTTTCTAAAGTGCGTTTAACACACCGGCGAAAACGGCCGGCAACAAAGCAACGCCTCTTGCATTTTTGAAAAGGACACGCCTTCTCGGAAATGTGCGCTCCCCTTTTTCTCTTCCGCAAGGAAACAAACACAGAGAGCTTGAAAATGGATGCCGAGAGATTTAACTCTGTTTTATCAAACGTGCGCTCATCCATGAAGAAAATATTTTTTCCAGCGGATGTCTTAGTTACAACATGATTGAGCTAACTGGAGTAGTTTAATGTCGTATCCGACAACGGGAGGCTTTTAACAGATGACGTCCTGGTGTTAGCTTTGCTGCTGCTGTTGGCTGTCCCTGTTAGCTGCAGCCACTGATGCTTTCTAGACATCGTGATTTCCCAAAACTGAATAAATACCACACATAGCAACACAAAACTGCTTTGCTAGCTCAATCATGTTGTAACTAAGATATCCGCTGGATAAGATATTTTTTTCACGGACCATTTAATGAGTTATTACCTATTACAGATGCCGTTAAGGGCTAACAGGGCTAACAGCTAACGGTTAGCCCAGCTAAACGTGTACACAGAAATAGTAATGTTTGTTCAATCATTGTGTTTATAGACTTTACAAACATCGGATTAGGTGATACGGTGATGTGAAAAGTGTGTGTGTGTGTGTGTGTGTATATATATATATATATATATATATATATATATATATATATATATATATAGTAGCAGCAAAAAGTATGCACACACCCTCTCAGTCAATTCCTTTT